TTCAGGATCGCCTCAACTAACTGAACTTTGTATATCATGGGACCTGACCGCGCATCAGCCTTGCCTTATACCATGCAGGACCATTTCTGTAGTTCCGGCACCAGACTTTGTCGCTGAAGTAAACTGTCTCTCTTTCTTAAAGGAAACATGTGGCTGGCATTGGCATTCCTGCTGCTGTTTCACCCTCCCTCCAGGCCCGGGAATATCAGTTTTCACCTGGTGCAGTTTCTCTTCTCCATCAGCAACTCTGATGGAGCTATCCCTGTAGTTGCATGAGGAATAGTCCAATAATCAAACAGGAACTGGGACAGTTTGATATCAAGTGAAGCTGTAGGCTATTTCTCTAAGCCTGCCTTCTATGTTTGGACTGCTCTTTCTGCTAGACCATTGGATGATGGATGGTATGGAGCTGTCCTCAAATGCCTAATGCCATTCAACTTTAGGAAATACTCAAATTCCCTGCTGGTTAATGATGTCCCATTGTCTGTGACTAAAACTTTCGGGAGTATGTGTATCACAAATTATGCTCTCAGCTTTTCAGTCACCCTCCTGAGTGAATTCTATACATGTCCAACCACTTTGAATGGGCATCCACAATGACCAAGAACATTGAACCTATGAAAGAACCGGCATAGTCGACATGTAACCGGGTCCAGGTTTTACCCGGCCATTCCCATGAATCGGCGGTAGCAGTTTTTGTCTTGTTGGCAATCTGGGCACTGCCTCACCACCGCAGCAATGTCAGAACCAGTTCTGGCTACTAGACATAACTTCTTGCCAACATTTTCATTTTGGAGACCCTGGATGAGCCTGGTGGATTTCAGGCAGTGTCTGTCACCAGCCTTTACTTGGGACAATCAGCCTTCCTTCCCACAGTAATATGTCAACCTCTACGGTCATCGGTTCTCGCCAGGTCCAGAAAGGTTTCAATCCTGGTTGCAATGGCTCTTCTGCTTCCCCCCATTACCATCAGCTGTTTTAGTTTTACCAGGATGGGATCTTTTCACGTCCACAGTTGGATATTGTCAGCGGTGACCAGAAGGCTGGCCAGAAAGTTTAAAACCAGAATGGATTCTTCCAGGGCAGGCACCATTGGTGGTTTATCTGCCAGTAGGAGGTGGCTGAAGGCATCTGAATTAGCCACTTGGCCACCTGGATGGTGTTCCAACTTGTTCTTGTATGCACTGAGAATAAGGGCCCACTGCTGAATTCAAATTGAATTGAATTGAATCACTTGTTGTCACGTGTATTTAATGTAAAAATACAGCGAAAAGTGCGAGCCTTCGCCGTACATACATGGCACCATTCACATTAACTTAGAATAAGGTAAGAAAAAAAAATAACTTAAGAGAGTCCAACTCTCCTTTCCACTGCCACAGTCCTGGTCCGGACTTTCCAGGCCACACCATGCCGCTACAAGCGCCCCACTCTGGGCTGCCTCACTGTCCCGATCTCGCCGTCGCTGCAACACCGTCCCGCTCTCAGCTGCCTTACCAGCTTGCTTTCGCCGCCTGCAGCACTGCCTAGTCTTCTTTAAGTAGTCCTAGCAGGGGTTTGTGGTCTGTTACTTTGATGAATTCACATCTATTAAAGCATTGGTGGAACTTCCTCACACCAAAAATGACCGCCAAACCTTCGTTCTCTATCTGGGCGTATTTGCGTTTGGCATCAGCAAAAACCGGGAAGCATACGCTATTGGGCGTTCCTCTCCCTTGGGCCACTGATGAGCCAATACTACCCCAATACCATACGGGGAGGCATTGCATGTCACCACCTCTCACTTTGGATTGTAGTAGGCCAACACCTTAGATGATTATAGCTGCTTTTTCACTTCCCTGAAGGCTACTTCTTGGCTACAGGACCATTTCCAAGTCTGACTCTTTTTCAATAGCACCAATAAAGGTGCCAAGATGGAGGCCAGGTTATGTATGAATTTTCTGTAATAATTCACAAATCTAAGGAAAGACCTAAGCTCTGGTACAGACGTGGGAGCTGGGCACCTTTGATTGCCCTCACTTTATCTTCCAATGGGTGTAACTCGGTCTTGATGACTCTGTAGCCCAAGTAGGTCACTTGGGGTGCCTTAAACGCACATTTTCCCTTCTAAGGTGAATGCCCACCTAGGAGAATCATTTAAGCAATATGTCCAAGCTCTCCAAGTGCTCTTTATTCATCTTCCCCTGTTATTAGCACGTCATCCAGATAAATATCAACCTGGTGTACCCCTTGTAAAATGTTCTGCATCATCTGCTAGGAAAGAGTGCAGGCTGATGAAATCCCAGATGGCAGTGTTATGAATTGGTAGAAACCCTTATGGGTATTAATTGTGGCAAACTTCTGGGACTCCTCATCTAGTCACAATTGCAGGTAGACATAGCTAATGTCCATTTTTGTAAAGGACAGACCCCCGCCCCATCAATTTTGCCAGGGATCGGGTATTCATCCAGGTGTGAGAAGTGGTTTACCATTTGCTTAAAATCTCCACAATGGAGAACTGAGCCATCAGGCATCACAATCGGTTTGAAAGGTGCTGCCCATTCCACAAACTGCACTGGTTTTCAGCCTCCTGGTTTCCATCTCTACTTTTGCCTGCTAGGCAAATGACACTGGGCGGGCCTTGCAAAATCATGGAACTGCTTCCTGGTCAACATGTAAAGTGGCTTTGGCCCCTGTGATAGTCCCTAGCCCTTCCTGAAGAAGTTCTGGGTATTTCATTTGGATTTCACTCAGGCAGCTATTTTTTAATTGAAAAATGTTGAGCCAATCAAGGTAAATCTTTCTCAACTAATTCCCAATAGCTTTGGGCCTGAGCCTGTTACTACAATCAGTGGTAACTGTACCAAGTGCTTCTCATAGGAGACCAGAACCAAAGTCGCACCCTTAATCTGTAGCTGCTCCCTGGTGTTCATTCTCAGATTGGCCAAAGTCTTGCACAAACGTAAAGGTTGGAATCCAGAGCAAATCGTGTTAAAGATGAGTTCTGCAACGAATGATATAGCTGTGCCGGTACTGACCTCGATGAGAACCGGGTGACCATTTAACCAGACACTAATTTTAATTGGTTCTGATTTGGATCTTGCTAAGCAATTTAACTATCACACCCCACATATAGTTGGATATTCCAAGGTGTGACTCTCCTGGATATCAGCTTGTGCATTCCCTTACTCAAGTCAGTTCACGTAGGGCTCCTTTGCTGTTTTGAGTCCACACACTGGCAGCAACTACAATGGCTTTCTGGCCCAGATGCTGAAGAACATTTTAGCCATTTGGCTGAGGCTTGGCATTGATGTGGGGTTTTGTTGTGGGCTGGCTTAGGGTCCTTCTGCTCAGGATATGTCCTGTGTGAGCGTCTGTGATAGCTTACACTCAAGTGGCGTTCCCCAAGTTCAGTCGGACAGGTGATGGGGTCCACTTCCATTGGGTTACCCTGGAGCTCCCATGCTTCACTTGCTGCATTTTCTAATGATGAATCCAGTTGTGCCTGTTTGAAGTCCAGTTGGGGTTCAGTTAGTAGGTGCTTTTCCATGGTTACTTCATTAATCTCACTCTTGTTGCCACTGAAATAAGTGCTGAGAGCCCAGTATCTCGTCACCAAGTCACCCTTTATTTACACGTGCTCAGTACACTGACTGTGGCAAGTCAGCTTGGAGTCAGTTCTTGAAGTCTAACGACTCTGAATCACCTATTTTTTTCTTACTTGAAGTCAGGAGACTCCCTGAATCACCTGTTTATATATATTTTTCTCTCATTGAAGATACCATTGTGCAAATAATTTAATTTAGCATGGTAAAACACCCATGCGGCCAGGGAACCAGTAACAAGCAAGGCCCGATAGAGGCAATGCTTATGTGAAAAAAGTAGAGGGGAGGGTAGAGATTAAATCAAAACAAAATTGGAGGGGAAAATAAAACACTCCACCCCTCGCACTGCCCACCTCTCCCTAAAAGCATCGAGAGCATTGATGGACACAGTGCGCTCCCTCTCCAAGGACTCCCGGGCTCTAAGATACCTACAGAAGAGGGGCAGACAATTGGCTTAAATGACCCCCTCTATGGCCTAGAGATAACAAGGTGTAGAGCTGGATGAACACAGCAAGCCAAGCAGCATCAGAGGAGCAGGAAAGCTGATGTTTCGGGCCTAGACTCTTCTTCATTTTTCTGTTAATGGCCAGTTTGCCACGCCCAGGAGCAGACCAACGAGGAGCTCCTCTGACCTGCCCGCTCCCCTCTGCACGATTTGCCCAAAGATCAGGAGCATTGGGCTGAAGTGCAACCAAAAACAGAGCAGAGGGTTCTTCATGGAACCAAAAAGGGAGTGCAAACTCCCACAACAAATGTACACATGGTCCAAGGATTCCACAGCACTGCAAAATAAACAATTGGGCTGGGAGTCCATGAACCACTGCAATTTGTGATTGCACGGGACTGCTGCATGCAACACCCTCCAATCTAGATCCTCAAGGGAAAGAGGGAGGATTCCCATGTAGAGACCCCTCCACTGGTCATCCCCACTCTCGGAGGTAAATAGGCATGCTCAGGCGTGTCCGGGCGGTGGATGAAGAAGGGGTGGATGGTGTGTAGCAGCAGTCTGCACAGGGCCCACCATTTTGCTTCCCTAAAATAATCCCCTGCTTGTATCTGTCTGCCAGGACTTCCTCATTGGCCCAGGTTAACAACCTCAATCAAGATCTCATAGTCAATGTGATCTACCTGGTTCCAATCACTACAATCATCCACCAAATTCAGTGACATAAAGTTGAGGGACTTGAGGATTTCCTGCCAGTAGAGGTGAATTAAAATCCTCATCCTCACTTAGTTTTTGTGATGCATTTGAATTAAATTAAGTCGACCAAATAAAGGCTGTTCTTAATCATAATGTGCGAGGACTTTAAGTTATATGGATTGATCTTGATGGTCTTTGCTTAAATGGTGAAAGTGACATGAAAGGTTTACCTCCATAGCTTTTGAGGCTGAGTTTTACTTCATGTGATTTCCTTGCAGGAGAAGCAAACACGGTCTTGCACAATGCACAGTATAACTGCACCTTCCCAGCAATGATAGAGGATTGGAGGCAGATTTTCCATCAAGGCTCTGGCGGAGCCACAGAAGCAGACTTCCCTTTTGGATTTGTCCAGGTAATTTAAAACTGTTATATTTTGAATAAAACAGAGAACTGTGGATTCTGGGGATCTGAAGCAAACAAAAACAGAAATTCATTTTCTTTGAACAACCTTCTCTGTTGCTTCATCAAAATATTCAATTAGAATAGTCAAAATGCTTCATCTGTTCTTAATTAACCCAAACCTCTCCAAGTGTCTGTTAATTTTTTCCCTGATTATGCTTTCTAAAATCCTAACCACCACTGATGTTCCATTGCATGATCTGTGGATACTATGAATGTTTCTATATCCTTTCTTGAATAAAATATCACATTTGGCACATTCCAATCCTCTGGCACCTCTCCTCTAACTAAGGGAGGTTGAAAGATTCTGCTATCTCCTTCTTCACTCCCTTCAGCAACCTGGGACACAAACCAATGGAGCAGGCAGCTCTATCCACTCTAAGCATAGCCAGTTTATCCATAAAACCAGTGAAACAATTTTCAAAAAAACAAGACACACAAACACTGGAAATCACAAACAAAAGCTGAAATTGCTAGAAGAAACTCAGCAGGTCTGACAATATCCATGAAGAGAAAGCAGAATTAATGTTTTAGGTCTCGTGACCCTTCTTCAGAATTGATTGTAGCTGGGAAAATGGGTGGTATATATATGGTATATATGCTAAAAATGGATGAGGAGAGGGGGAAGGAATCAGCAATAGAAGGAGATGGAGCCCAGAGAGAGAGAAAAACAGTTGGGCAGACAAAGGAATGGTTAACGGGCAGCCTGGGAGAATGAATAGCTGCTACTTGGCACAATTAATGGCAGACAATGGGATGTTTATGATAACAGCCCATATAATGACAAGGCCTGGTGTGTGAGAGTTGGGTAGGGTTTTGGGAGACGATGCTCAAGCCCTAAAATTGTTGGACTCGATGTTGAGTTCAGTAGGCTGTGAGGTTCCCAAGTGGAGACTGAGGAGTTGTTTATCCGGCTTGCACTAAATTTCACCAGATCACTGCAGCGAGCCTAAAAGAGATCTGTTGGCCAGCGGACATGGTGGTGTGTTAAAATGGCAGGCACCCAGAAGGTCGGGTATACTTGTGCCGACGGGTTTTCTTTAGAGCAGTTACCCAGTCTGTACTTTATCTCGCCACTGGAGAGGAGACGACATTGTGAGCAGTAAATACAGTAAAATAGATTGAACGAAGTGCTTTATCTGGAAGATGTACCTGGGCCTTGGATAGTGAGGATGGAGGAAGTAAACAGGCAGGAGTTACACCTCAGATTGCAATGGAAAGTGCCATGGGGGTGTTGGGCGATTTTGTGAGTGGAGGAGGTGTGCGCCAAGCATTCCTGGAGGTAACAGTCCTTGTGGCAGGCTGGCAAGGGATTCCCCACAGTGGACATTTTGGAGGCTCCCTTATCGAAGTTGGCATCATTGGAACAGGTGCAATGAAAATCGAGGAATTCGGAGAATGGAATGGAGTCTTTACAGCAAGCAGGGTGTTAGGTAACTGTGGGAGTCAGTGGGTTTGTAGTGGATATTGGTGGGTAGCCAATCCTCAAAAATGGAAACAGAGATATCGAGGAAGGGAAGCGGGGAGCCAGAAATGGACCAGGTGAAGGTGAGAGCAGAGTGGAAATTTTAAGTGAAATAGATAAACTTTTCCAATTCCAAACAAGACAGGGAAGCAGCACCGATGATGTCATTGATGAACTGGACAAAGAATTGTGGATAGGGGTAGAATAGCACTGGAACAAGGAATGTTTCAGGTACCTTACAGTACATTTTCAGTACATCTACCATCTCAACTTTTGACAATACGTCATCAATATACCCTTCTGTAGTAAATACTGATATAAAGTGTTCATGTTTTAGCCTTGCCCTGTAACTTTAAGCATAAATTACCCTTTTTGTCCTTAATTTGTCAATCTCTATTCCCTGACTACTTATAGAAAATTCCTGGGGCCTCTTTTATGTTAACTACAATTCCAATCTTACACCATCTTTCTACTGGTTCTAGTTTCCACTTCACTTTGCCTCTATTTAGTTCTGTTTATTCATGAACGATTGCCCTTAAAAGCACCATCTATTCTTATCTATTTTCCTCACTAGCCAAGGAACCATGGCTTTGGTTCCCTTTCCTTTTGCCTTTATTGCAACATATCAAGTCTGTATCTAAAACATCTCTTCCTTAAAGATCACCCATTGTTCCATTACTGCTTTTCCTGTCGGTCCTTGGTTCCATTTGACTTGGTTAGATGCCTTCTGCCTGTATTGAAAGAAAATTTAGCATGTCCACAATGACTCTTACCAATTTCTTTAGATGCACCACAGAAAACATCCTGTCCGGGTACATCACAGCTTGGTATAGCAACTCCTTTTTTCCTAAGACTGCAAGAAATTACAGACAAATTGTGATTGCAGCCCAGTCCATCACGCAAACCAGCCTTGTATCCTTTGACTCCATTTATACATCCCGCTGCCTCAGGAAAGCTGCTAACATAATCAAAGACTCTCCCATCCCAGTTGTATTATCTTCCATCTTCTTCCATCAGGCAGAAGATTCAAAATTTTGAAAACATATATCAACAGATTCAAGAACAGCTTCTTCAACTGCTGTTATCAGATATTTGAAGAGACCTCCCATATATTAAAGTTGATCTCTTTTTGCACCTTCTCAATGGCTGGAGCACTATATTCTGCATTCTGTTCTATTACCCTAATGTCTAATGTATGGTGTGATTTGCCTGGACAGCACACAAAACAATACTTTTCACTGCATCTCAGCACGTGAAAATAATAAAATCAAGTCAAGTCTAGATGTTCTACTTTATATCAATTGTTGCTTTAGTCTATCGATAATCTAAGCCTTATGATATGGTGATCATTCTTATCCAAGCGTTTTCCCATAGACATTTGGCGCACATGGCCCATCTTATTTCCTAGTACCAGATACAGCAATGTCTTTTTTCTAGCTGAATTGAACAAACTGGATGAAGAAGTTCTCCTCAACATTTTTCAGAAATTCTTCTGCCTTCCTACTATTTTCCATTATTTCACTTTACTATTATCCATATTGATATTTGGATAATTAAAGTTCCCCAGCATCATCTCTCTCTAATTCTTTCCTGTCTGTCTGATTCCTCTGCCGATTCTACGCTGCTCTCTCTCATTATTTGGAGGCCTACAGGGTGCCCTAAGCCATGTGATAATTACCTTTTTTGCTTCTCAGCTCTAACTAAATGGATTCTGTCCTTGCCCCATCAAGGACGTCCTCTTTCCAATCTTCCTAAATCTGTACTACTGTGTTTTTCTTTCCCTAACTATTCCAAACTTTTAAGGAACTGTCTCAAATGTATCTTTTAGGCTGCCTTTGAGTATTGTCAAACGTATATATAGGTTAATGTGTCCCATGATTATTGTTACCTTTGTTACAAGCTTCTATTCTGGCTGGCGGCATAGCTGCAGCCAGAGACCCTGTAAACTACTCTCGCCAGTGTTTGCAGTCCCTTTTTATTCCTCAGCTCCATCCTATTGATCCTGATCTTCTGGGCCAAAATCCTTTCTCATGACTTTCATCCATTACTATTAGGGATACTACCACTTCACTTTTCCATTCTGTCTTTTTTGAAATGTCTAATACACTATAATGTTTTAATTTGCAACCTTGGTTACCATGAAAGGTCTCTGGCTATTGGGGGAAAACTGGATGGAATCATACCTAGCACATAGAAAGATGGCTGTGGTTGTTGGAGGTTAGTCATCTCAGCTTCAGAATCATCTCTGCAGAAGTTCCTCAGGGCCTTGGCCTAACCATCTTCAGTTGCTTCATCAACAACCTTCCCTCCACCCTAAGGTCAGAAGTAAGGATGTTTGCTCATGATTGCTCAATGTTCAGCACCGTCAGTGACTCCTCACAGCGCTAGGGACCCAGGTTTGATTCTACCCTTGGGCGACTGTGTGTGTGGCATTTCCACATTTTCCCCATGTCTGTGTGGGTTTCCCCTGGGTGCTCCGGTTTCCTCCCACAGTCCAAAGATGTGCAGGTTAGGTGGATTGGCCATGCTAAATTGCCCATAGTGTCCAGGAATGTGCAGGCTATGTGGATTATCCATGGGAATTGCAGGGTTAAAAGGATAGGGTAGAGCTATGGGTAGGATACTCTTCTGAGAATTGGTGTGGACTCGATGGGCCGTATAGCCTGCTTCCATGCAGTAGGGATTCTATGATTCTATAATTCTCAGATACTAAAGCAGTCCATTTCCAAATGCAACAAGATCCGGACAGTATCCAGGCTTGGGCTGTCAAGTTAAGAGTACCATTCACACCACAGAAATCCAGACAATGGCCATCATCATTAGAAACAATCTAAACTACCGCTCCTTGACATGCAGTGGTGTCACTGAATCCCTCATTATCAACATCCTTGGGATCACCATTGACCAGAAACCCAACTGTACTCACCACATAAACACTATGGCTGCAAGAGCAGGTCAGAGGCTGGGAATACTGTAGGGAGTAACTCACTTCTTGACTCCCCAAAGCCACTCCATTACGTACAAAGCACAGTCAGGAGTGTGATGGAATACTCCCCACTTGCCTGTATAGGTGCAACTCCAACAACACTCAAGAAGCTTGACACTATCCAGGACAAAGCAGCCTGCTTGATTGGCACCACATCCACAAACTTGGGCTACCTGCATCACTGATGCTCAGTAGCAGCAGTGTGTATTATCTACAAGAATCTCTGCAGAAATTCACCAAAGATCCTCAGACAACACCTTCCAAACCTATGTCCACTATTATCAAGAAGGCCAAGAGCGACAGATATATGCGAACACCACCACCTGCAAGATCCCCTCCAAGCCAGTTCAAACCTCCAGGGAAATATATCTCTGTTCCTCAATTATCACTGGGTCAAAATTTTTGAATTCCCTCCCTAATAGCATTGTGTGTGTCAACCCATTGTGGTGGACTGCAACATTTCAAGAAGGCAACTCACCACTACCAGTGACAGGCAATAAATGCTGGCCAGCCAGCGACACCCTAACCCATGAATGGATAAAAAAAGGCTGTTAAGTCAAATACATTTCACTCTATTGAGGTCACTATCTGACTGACTTGTTAAAAATGCCTTGTATGTTCAGGTAAAAGCCTTTTGTTTTTAAAGCAGTACTCCCTGCTCGATTCTTATTTGCTTAAGTACTATCACTGTCAAACTCTTTATACATTTCTCCATTCTTTGAGTATTTGTACCCAAATTGCTACAACATTGCCTTAACTTTTCTCTTTATATTTCTAGCTTTCCCCTCAGATGAACTCTTTGTCCCCCCGATAAGTTTAAACCCTATGCACAGGCTTGATTATATGATTTGCCTGGATGCTGATCCCAGTCTAGTTAAAGGGAAGCCCATGTGAGCAAAATATCTGCCTATTTGCTCAGTACTTTCTCCCACACGACTCTTCAATTTTCTTGATTCTTTAATATGAACAACAATTGATGCATTGTTCAGGTAGTACATAGATTAGATTTGATTTATTGGCACGTGTACCTAAGTACAGTGAAAAGCTTTGGTTGGCGAGCAGTATGGCAGATCATAATAAACAAGGACATACAGATCATAGTGTGAAAAATACTGGGACAGAGTGAGGCATACAGGTTAAATTGCACAGGACATTTCTGAGGCAAGATCAACATTAACAGATCAACATGATTTGAAGTTAGAGAGTCCATTCATCAATCTAGTAACAGCAAGGAAGAAGCTGTTCTTGAACCTGCTAATGCATATGTTCAAGCTTCTGTATCTTCTACCTGATGGAAGAGATTGTAGGAGAACATTACTGGGGTCTGATGGGTCTTTGATGATTTTGACATCCTATCTGTGACAACGAGAGGTGTAAATGGAGTCCATAGATGGGAGGTTGGTTTCCGTGATGGTCTGGGCTGTGCACATAACCTTCTGTAGTTTCTTATAGTCCTAGCAGAGCAGTTGCTATACCAGGCCATTATATACTTGGACAGCATACTTTCTATGGTGCATCTGTAATTGTTGGTGAGGGCCCTGATTGGCAATGCCAAATTTCCTCAGCCACCTGAGGAAAAAGAGGCGTTGTTGTGCCTTCTTGACTGTCACATCTGCATGGGAAGTCCAGGACAGGTTGTCAGTTATCGTCACTTCTAGTAACTTGACGCTCTCAACCCTCTGAACCACTGCTCCGTTGATGTAGATGGCAACGTGGTCTCCTTGTTTCTTTCTGAAGTTAATGATCAGTTCTTTTCTCTTGCTGACATTGACAGAGAGGTTGTTATCTTAGAACATACAGCACAGGAACAGACCCTTAGGCTCATGATGTTGTGCTGAAATGATGCCAAAATATACTAATCCCTTCTGCCTGCCCTCGGTTCATACCCCTCCATTCTTGCATATTCATGTGCTTGTCTAAAAGTCCCTTAAACGCCCCTATCATATCTGCCTCCACCACCACCCCTGACAGCACATTCCAGACTCCTACCACTCTTTATGTTAAAAAACCTTCCCCTCACAACTTCTTTGAACTTTCCCTCTCTCTCCTTAAATGCATGCCCCCTGGTTTTAGACATTTCAACTCTGGGAAAAAGGATTCTGACTGTAAATCCTATCTGTGCATTTCATAATTTTATAGACTTCTATCAAGTCTCCTGTAGCCTCCACCTCTCCAACATCTCTAGCCTCTCCTTATAGCTTATACCCTTTAATCCAGGCAGCATCTTGGTAAACCTCTTCTGCACCCTTTCTGCATCCTTCCTGTAATGTGACCACCAGTGTTAAACACAATACTCTAAGTGTGGCCTAACCAAAATCTTATAAAGCCGTAACATGACTTCCTGACCCTTCTACTCAGTTCACTGACGAATAAAGGCAAGCATGCCAAATGCCTTCTTTATCACCCCACGTACTTGTATGGCCACTTTCAGGGAGCTATGGACTTGAACCCTAAGATCTCTCTCTATATCAATGCTGTTCAGGGTCCTGCCATTAACTATACTTTCCCTTAATATTTGATCTCCCGAAATGCAGCACCTCATACTTGCCCAGATTAAACTCCAAGTGTCATTTTTCCACCCATATCTGCAACTGATCTGTATCTCGCTGTATCCTTCTACACTACCCACAACTCCACCTATCTTTGTATCATCTGAAAACTTACTAACCCACCCATGTACGTTTTCATCCAAGTTATTTATATATATCACAAACAGCAGAGGTTCCAGTATGGATCCCTGCGGAACACCACTAGTCACAGACCTCCAGCCAGAAAAACACCCTTCCACCACGACCCTCTCCCTTCTATGGGCAAGCCAATTCTGAATACATGCAGGCAAATCACTGTGAATCCCATGTATCTTAATCCTCTGGATGAGCCTACCATGAGGGACCTTGTCAAAAGTCTTACTAAAGTCCGTGTAGATAACATTGCTGTACCCTCATCGATCACTTTCGTCACCTCCTTATGGGGTGGTATTACCTAGTGGTATTATCGCTGGACTGTTAATCCAGAGACCCAGATGGTCTGGGGACCCGGGTTCAAATCTCGCCATGGCAGATGGTGGAATTTGAATTCAATAAATATCTTGAATTAACAATCTAATGATGACCGTGAATCCATTGTCGATTGTTGGGAAAAACCCATCTGGTTCACTAATGTCTTTTAGGGAAGGAAACTGCCATCCTCACCTTACTTCAGACCCACAGCAATGTGGTTGACTCTTAACTGCCCTCTGGGCAATTAGAGATGGGCAATAAATGCTGGCCTAGCCAGTGACGGCCTCATCCCGTGAATGAATTAAAAAAAAATTCAGTTAAGTTAGTAAGACATGACCTGCCCTGCACAAAGCCATGCTGACTGCCCCTAGTTAATTTTCCAAATGCACGTCAATCCTGTCCCTAAGAATTCTGTCCAATAGAGTCACTTGTCTATAGTTTCCTGGATTATCCCTATTTCCCTTCTGGAACAGAGGAACAACATTAGCTACTTGCCAGTTCTCCGGGATTTTTCCAGTGGCTAGCAAGGATACAAAGACTTTGGTCAAGGCCCTAGCAATCTCCTGTGTTGCCTCTGTCAGTAATCTGGGGTACATACCATCGGGCTTTGGGGACTTATCTACCTTAATGATCTTCAAAAGACCCAACACCACTTATTTTTTGACTTCAAAATGCTTTCGTAAACCAGTGTTTATTGCCCTTCACTAATTTAGAACAAAGCACTCCAAAAAGAGTCTTCACTCTTAGTTTAACCTAATGTTTGAATCTTTTGCTGACCTCTTATTGTGTTGTCAAAAGTCCCACTCTCAATTCTATCCCTTCGTTCACCTCCCAGATTCTCTGAGCGCACTATCCCCTCTTCACAATAGCATCCCTGATCTCTCTACTTCCCCCACTGCACCATCACCTGCCGACACCACTCCATTCCCGCATCTTCTCCCCACTTGCCTATCCGAGCACTCCCCCCTTTCTATGCCATTAGAGCTGCCACTCCGACAGTGTTGTGCTCCCGCAGTGCAGCTGCTCAAACAGTGGAGCACTCCATCTGGCCTGACCGTCCACCAGGGCAACACTCACTCAGAAATAAAAAGAAAGTGCCGGAAAAACTCAGCACGTATGTCAGCAACTGAGGAGAGATGAAACAGAACTAACATTTTGAGTTCAGTATGACTTTTCTTTAGAACGTGCTCAGTACTGTCCTTCTGACAATGTCGCACTCACTCAGTACTGCCCCTGCAAGAGTAGCAATTGCTCTGTACTGTCCCTCTGACTGTATGGCACGCATTCAGTACTGTCCTCTAACAGCATAGCTGCCATTCCCTCAGTGTTGCTCAACTACTTTAACTTCATTTATATTTATTATGGTTAATAAAGATTGCTGTAATTATTATTCCTGTAGCTGTCCACCGACCACCATGCTGTCCCAGATGATTCTTTCCCATGGATACGTTGGCATCAAACTGCTGATTTTGGTTATGCTCCAAACCCAAAGATGAAGAGAACTTTCATGGCAGTTGCAATGGACCTGGGTGATGAGAAATCACCTTATGGCATGTAGGTACCAAAGTTGAAAATAGGCTGTCGAGATAAACCTGAGTAAGATCAATCACACTTTTGCATTCAAAACCAGTTGTGAATGGTGGTCTGCACATACCCTCAATATGGATATTGCTTTTGCAAATTGACTGGAAACTCCTTTGACACAGGAACAGAGGTTGGTGAAGACAAAACTATGTGGGAATAATTAATGATGGTTGCAGCCAAAATGGAAAGGTTTTGTAACAAGTTTACCTGAACAGGGTTATGTAACATAAAGACGCCATGCAAATAACAATTGTTACATGGCAGTCCATCCTAAGGTAAAAGTGTTCCTTTCACATGATGTACTGTCTTCGAAACTTTTAAGTGTATTTCATGATCAGAGTTTTAAAGAAGCACTTGTTACTTATGTAAATGCATCAGCAATTTGTGCACAGCAAGATCCCAGAAATTGCAACTGAATCAATGAGGAAGGAGTTTGCCAGGAGCCCAAGAGAACTTCTGTCCATTTCTTTGAAGAGTGCTATGGAATCCTGCATCCACCCAATGTCTTAGTTTAGCTCCTCATTTGACAATGTTGCAGTCCCTTAATACTGCATTGCTCAATTACCTGTTTACAGTCTGAGTGAGCGTGGAACCCACCACCTATTAACTTAGTGGAATCTGAGAGATGCCAGAGTGTGCGAGTAAACATTTAATATTTTTCAGCATTCATCCTCGAGATAAACAAGATGTTGCGTATAGATTGTATCTTGGTGCTCGAGCAGTGGCTTACGGAGAGACGGCAGTCGTTTTCCAGGGCCCGTTTCCTAAGGAAGTTCAGCTCAAGAACAGCAGAGAATTGACCATCACCTACACAGAGGAGTTGACAGTGCTGGAGCTCAGACATGATCTATTTGAGGTATGGCACAGGCACATGGACAATAACAGCAAGATTGCATCAGGGAGATATATTTTATAACAAGAGAGGGTGTTACTGCACAAAACAAATATTTTGCTTCACATATTGAATACTGGTTGAATACAGTTCAGTTTACTATTCAGGATAGCCAGGGGCACAGTAAAGGGAGGGAAAAGACTTCTGGTGTAAAGTGTATTTATTTCAATGTACGAGGCCTGACTGATAAGGCAGATGAGCTCAGAGCGTGGATTGGCTCTGGGGACTGGGATATTATATATGGATGAGAGAAGGGCAGAACTGGCAGCTCAATGTTTCAGGATGCAGAAGCTACAGGCGTGACAGAAGTACAAGTAAGTGAGGAGGGGGAGGTGCCCTTTTAAAAAGGGAGGACATAGCAACAGTACTTAGAGAAGATATTCTTCAGGGGTCATCAAATGAGGCCATATAGTTAGAACTCAGAAACAAGAAGGGAATGGTCACTCTGTTGGGATTGCATTATAGACCCCCAAACAGCCAGCAGGTACTAGAGGAGCAGATGTGTAGAGAGATTGCAGACACCTGTAGGAATAATAGAGAAGTATTGGTTGGAGATTTTAATTTCCCCTGTATTGACTGGGTCACTCAGAGTGTAAAAGGCCCGGACAGGGTGGAATTTGTCAAATGTGTCCAAGAGAGTTTCTTAAATCAGTTTGTTGAGGGCCCTACTCTGGAGGATGCAACGCTGGGACCTCCTGATAGGAAATAAGATCAGGCAAGTGACTGAAGTGTCAGTCAGAGAGCACTTTGGGTCCAGTGGCCATAACTCTCTTAGTTTTAACATAGTTATGGAAAAAGATAGGACAGGTCCACAGGTTGAGGTACTAAATTGGAGCAGGGCTAATTTTGTGGCCATGAGGCAGGACCTAGAAGAGGTCGATTGGATGAGTCTGTTTGAAGGAAAAGGAATGTCTGGCAAATGGGAGGCTTTTAAAAGTGTGATAGCAAGAGTCCAGGGACAGTATATCCCTGCTGGGTTGAAGGAAAAAACTGGCAGGTTTAGGGATCCCTGCCTGATGAGGGATATTGAGGCTCTGGTCAGGAAAAAGGAGAAGGCATACATTGGCTTTAAGCTATCGGGCTCAAGTGAATTCCTAGATGACTATAAAATGTGTAGGAGCACACTCAAGGAGGAAATCAGAAGAGCAAAAAGAGGATATGAGATTGATCTGGCAGATAGGGTTAAAGATAATTCCAAAAGGTTTTATAGCTATATTAAGAGTAAAAGGGTGGCTGGGGAGAGAATAGGTCCCCTTAAAGTTCAGCATGGTCATCTATATGTGGAGCCACAGGAGATGGGGGAAATTTTTAATGAATGTTTCTCCTCAGTGTTTACTCAGAAGGGAACCATGAATAAATAAGGGAAACAAGTGGGGATGTTTTGGATCGCATACATATTACTAGAGAGGAGGTGTTCGCTGCCTTAAATCACATTAAGTTGGATAAATCTCCTGGGCCTGATCAAGTCCATCCTCGGACTTTGTGGGAGGCTAGGGAAGAAATTGCAGAGGCCCTTGCAGAGATTTTGGCTTCATCTTTTGCCACTGGTGAAGTTCCAGAAGACTGGAGGGTGGCTAATGTTGTTCTACTGTTTAAGAGAGGTAGCAAAGACAAGCCAGGGAACTACAGGCCAGTGAGCCGGTATGCAGATTTGGTCACCTTGTTATAGGAAAGACATAGTTAAACTGGAAAGTGTGCAAAGAAGATTTACGAGGACGTTACCAGGACTAGTAGGCCTGAGTTATAGGGAGAGGTTGGCCAGGATAGGACTTTATTCCTTGGAATGTAGGAGAATGAGGGTGACCTTATTGAGGAGTATAAAGTCATGAGAGGCTTAGGTAGGATGAATGCATATAATCTTTTTCCCAGGGATGGGGAATTGAAATCTAGAGGGCATAGGTTTAAGGTGAGAGGGGAAAACTTTAAGAAGGACCTGAGGGGCAACTTTTTCACACAGAGAGTGGTGCATGTATGGAATGGGTTGCCAGAGAAAGTGGCTGAGGCAGGTACAATAGCAACATTTAAAAAACATTTGGATAGGCACGTGGATGGGAAGGGTTTAAAGTGATATGGACCAAATGCGGGCAATTGGAACTAGCTGATTGGGCACCATGGTTAGCATGAATCAGTTTGGGCCAAAGGGCCTGTTTCCATGCTGTTTTACTCTATGACTCGATGACAGTTTGCAGAGCTGGTGTGATCTACTGAGGGAGCTATCTGCACCTTCCTAAATAGAGAGAGCAGGCTTCTTCCCTGCAGCTCTTTAAACTCCTGCCACTTCCTTTAACAGGAGGAAAACCTGGACTGTTTGACAATATAGGAACAACCCAAGGTCCCAGAAAATGAGATGCATAGGAACTATATGCTTGCTAAGCATAGAAAATAGCATTCTACGGACAGAGCTAAACAATCCTACCACTAAAGGATCAGATCAAAGCTCTGTAGTTTTTCCACATTGAATAGCGAATACTGCTGAACACTTATCCAACTAATTGGAAAGGAGTGTACCAACGAATACAAAAGACTGTAGTTTCAATCAATTGATGATCCCGCTTGGCCTGCTCCTGAGGTCTCCACATTACAGATGTCAGTCTCCAACCAACTTGGGATGGGGTTGCAAGAGCTCTCTTGAGGTTTGTCCACTTGTGTTGTTCTGCATCATCAATTATGTTCATGCCCCCTTTTACACCAGAATCCAAGGGATTCAGAAGGAAACCACATAGAGTCATGGAAATGTACTGTATGGTACCAGACCTTTTGGCCCAACTCATCTATGCCGACTAGATATCCTAAATTAGTCTAGTCTCACTTGCCAGCATTTGGCCCCATTTGTCTAAACCCTTCCTATTGATGTTCCCATCCAGATGCCTTCTAAATGTTGTAATTGCACCAGCCTCCACCACCTCCTCTGGCAGTTCATTATATATACACACCACCTCCTGTGTGAAAATGTTGCCCCTCAGTTCCTTTTTAAATCATTTTCCTCTCACCTTAAACCTATGCCGTCTAGTTTTGGACTCTCCTACCTTGGGAAAAAGACCTTGTTTATTCACCCTACCCATGCCCCTCATGATTTTATAAACCTCTATAAGGTCACCCCCCGCCTCCGACGCTCCAGGGAAAATAGCCCTAGCCTATTCAGCCTCTCCCTCTAGCGCAAACCTTCCAACCCTAGCAACATCCTTTCCTGCACCCTTTCAAGTTTCACAACATCCCTTTCAAGTTTCACAACATCCTTCCTATAGCAGGGAGACCAGAATTGAATGCAATATTCCAAATGCAGCCTTTCCAATGTCCTATACAGCCACAACATGACATCCCAATTCCTATACTCAATGCACTGACCAATGAAGGTAAGCATACCAAATACCTTCTTCACTACCCTGTCAACCTGCCACTCTACTTTCAAGGAACAATGAACCTGCACCTCAGAGTCTCATTGGTAACATTCCCTAGGATCTTACCATTGAGTATATAAGTCCTAGAGATAGTAGGAACTGCAGATGCTGGAAAATCTGAGATAACAAGGTGTAGAGCTGGATGAACACAGCAGGCCAAGCAGCATCATAGGAGCAGGAAGGCTGACGTTTCGGGCTTAGACCCTTCATCAGAAA